CATTAGTGGGTCACAGAATCAATTTGTGCATCACAATGCACATGTTTAAAGAAAATGAAACAAGAAATAATAGCAAACATAAAAGTAGTTCTGTGAAGCCCTTTTTTGCCAGTTAGTTGTGGTCAAAAAGGCTGACAGCCAGCAGACTAGTCCGGGTACTGCTGTGCAGATTAGGAAAAAGGGGCCCAGGAGGATGGGTGATTTGCAGGTGGCCACCAGCCATTCGGGGACCTGTGGCCACATCCAGCTTGTTGCTAAGATGTCTCTGCCAGTAGCAGGTACAGATCTGGGAGAGTGGTACCCCTGAACACAGGTTGGGGCCAGGGGCAGATGGAGATACGGTGCTCATTCCTTCCCACCCCAACCTAACTCAGGGGGCCTTTTCCTTTCAACAGTGTTTCCCCAAATACAAAGGGGAAGACCTGGTGCTGATAATGACCTCTCCCAGAAAATTAATTTTCTAGCTCAGCCTACAAATGATACATCAGAGCTGAGCATGGTACTGTGGGGGAACTTTCTAACACCCCACCACTCCCATCTAAGCCAGATGAAATAGTGAATGGCTGTTTCTGAATTTTCTGAAAACTCATCCGAGGGGTGCCCCAGTTTTGAAGTGTTGAACTGTAGACTATGGAAATAAAGTTGCTTCAAGGTCAGCTGTGGGGCTCTTGGGGACAAAGGTCACACAGAACCGAGGTGCATGGAGCCTCACCTTGTTAACATGGAAAGGCTATTTTTAACAGCTGAGGAGACCTGCTAAAGCAAGCAGGAAATTATTTTAAAAGGGATCTTAGAAAATACCTTTTGTTTCAAGAATCAGTTGTGTATTTTAAAAGCTTTATGGGGCTTCCCTGGTGGCTCAGTGGTAAAGAATCCACCTGCCAATGCAGGAGACATGGGTTTGATCCCGGATCTGGGATCCCACAGAACCATAACTAAGTCTGTGCGCCACAAACTGCTGAGCCTGTGCTCTAGAGCCTGGGAGCTGCAGCTCCTGAAGCCCGCGCACCCTGGAGTCCGTGCTCCACAGTGAGAAGCCGCCGCAAAGAGAAGCCCACGCACCACAGCTGGAGAGCAGCCCCCGCTCGCTGCAACTAGAGAAAGCCCCCGCAGCAACGAAGACCCGGCACAGCCAGAAATAAATAACATTATCTAAAAACACAAAAACCTGATTGTTGTTTAAAAAAAAAACAAACCTTTATGGGTTCTTTGTTTGAACCAATATGCTCAGGAACTATAGACAATGCATTTCTATGAACTAAGTTTCCCTTTCAGTTCATTTTCTGACCTAGTTTAAAGCAGCCCAGCATATGGCTAGAGGTTTCTTTGATTGAGGAGGTAAAATACAGTAACTACTCCTGTAGCCAGTACTACTTTCTAGGCTAAGGAATGCAAACGTCCCCCCACGAATGCCCCACTTTTCAGAGGGCGGCAACAAGAGTGTCAAGGCAAGGCACACGTCACCGTACCCGGCTTATTACACGTGCCCTCATGCACGTCTCCTTTTAAGATTCTGAACACACGTGTCCCTCCCCGCAGGGCAGACCCGTGTATTCACACTACGTGACACAGCACACGGCGGACAGGAGGCACGTAACATGGATAAGTGTGCCCCTGACAAGCCAACAGCTGGCAAAGAGCATCAACCTGGCTGCCACACTCAGAAATCCTGACCAACAGACTGGACATTCTGTGAATACAACCGAAACACAGAAGCAACACAACCAATACAGATACTGAGCGACACAAGGATCGTCATTAAAATAAACTTCCCAGGGAGACAGCACCAGCCCACCCACACAAAGAAGGGGGGAGGGAAGGGACAAGTGGGCGTGACAGCAAAGGAGAGAAAGCAGCTACTGAACAGAGGGACTGGTGCACGGCAGCTTCTCACACAAGAGACATCTGGTCCGTCAAGAATGCGCTGCTCCACCAAGGGGAGAGTTTCGCAGCGTTGGGCAAGTAGGGGATTAAATGCGCTATGGAGAGAGCAGGCTCACCTTCTCAAAAAGTGACCTCACATCTATGCTTTCAGGAGAAATGCTAGTCCAAGGAGGAGTGGCAGGAGAGGTGGTGCGCTTTATGTACCTCCTGGAAATGTGAGCAAAACCGCTGCTGTCATGAGCACGCCCTGATTCTGCGCTAGACATTCCCCAACCCCACCCCGGCCATCCTGGGCTGAAGTCTTCTGCACAGACACCTAATTCAGCATCATGGTCCCAGGGCCTGTGGCAGCGCCCTGAACAAAGAGTGTCAGCTCCATAACTCACATGCTTCCTTGCCAGGAAATTACCTTTGGAGCCATTTCCCATAGGGATGCTCCGCACACAACCTACCACACTTCAGCATCTTCAGCCACATTTTGAGTGACTGCTGTGTATTACACATTTAAAAGCCCTGATAATGACTGAAAGGAGCTACATGTTTGGTCAAGAACAAGCACCAAGAATAAAGTCAGAATCCTCATTCTTCCAGCAAATAATTCCTTCTCCCATGAAATGTCCTGTCACTTAAAGTAAAGGCAGATGGTTAGTCAACAAAATTCCTGCTAACCAGTGTCACCATAAATCACACGTAACTGATGAAGTTTCTAGAAAACACCCTGGTTGGCCAATATCCTATTGCTTTCCTGGTTCTGAGTGACATTTCAAGGAAACCTCACAGTGAGACACGCTGTCAGTGTAACTGACTAGATGCCAGGGCCCCAGAGGGCCTGGGAAGGGGGCAAGGCAGTGGTATGTTAGGCCTCAGGGCCCTACAGCCCTAATCCGGGCCCTATCTACCCCTGACCTCAGTCCTACTGGCCCCAGGGCAGGGGTCAACAAATTTCAGGATGGGGCAGGCCAAACTAGCCCACAGCTAAGAGTGCTGTGGATGTTTTAGAATAGCTTTGAAAAGGAACAGTAACAAAAAGAATTATCTTGAGATGTGGTAATTATATGAAATTCACGTTTCAGGATCCATAAACAACTTTACTGAAACACAGCATTTCTGTTTGCTGACATACTATGGCAGCTGTTAACAGCAAAGCTCAATAGTTGTGACAGAAACCGTATGGCCTGAAATACCAAAATCTGCTCCTTTACAGAAAAAGTTTGCTGACCCCTATCCTAGCAAATGTCATGTTCACGCCTTCTCATGCTGTCAGCTCTGTGTGGAAATCACTCCTGGACCCCTTGGCTTTGTATGGCTAACTCCTTCTTGCCCCTAGGTCTTGGCTTGACTGTCACCTTTTCTTGTGGCCTTTCCTGAACTCTATCCAGAGACACTGAGCTCACTTTCACCGGTAACCTCCTTTGTAGCTCTATATCAAGCTATCCTGTTCATTTACTCATGAGCTGTTTTTCCAAAGAATCCCAACCTGTTGAGGGTGACCCTTGCCATTGCTATATCCCTTGTGCCTGGCAGAGTGAGGATCTGTGAATTGCATGGACCACACCAGTTACTTAAACCAATCAAAGCCTCCCCCAGGCTCCAGTCTCTCAACACCAAAGAGTCAAGCCTGAAGACACTGCTTTGGCTTTGGACATCACACTTCAGTCTGAGACACAAAATAAGCAGCCAAAATAAAACCGGCTATATTTCTCAAAGGTTTAAGAAGTTACATATAACAACAAAGTTGATCCGTAAGTTAAGAACACAATGTGCTTTATGTTTATGCCAACATGAATTGGGGAAAACAGGGCCTCCCACCTCCCAGCTTCTGGTGAGGAGTGACAGGTGCCCAGCACCTGCTTTGATCTTCCCGCCTTCGTCTGCCCACTGCCCGTCACTGGGGCCTGGCATTTCAGTGGTATTCAGTCCTGATTAAAGCATAACCTCATGCCTATAAATAGAAACCTCTTTTAAACACTAATTAAAAATAACAGGCTGGCATTTGGAATCTCCTATAAACAAAAATATAAGAGCTGAAATAAACAGCAACAGTTGCATGTTTGATCTATGCTGAGATGGATAAAAAGCTACATATGTTCCTCTGGAGTTTTTCAATTAACTCCTGAATTTATGTGAGGGTTTTAAAATGTATAACAAATGCTGATCTTACCTTTTAATCTAATAACGAGAAGGCTTTTCTTGACTTACTCCATCTTAAGAATTGTGAAAATAATTTTAATAATATTTTATTTAATCCAACATGTCCAAAATATCATTCTGACATGGTAATCAATGAGAAGAAATTACTGGGACATTCTGCTTCTCTTGATACTATGTCTCCAGTACCCACATATTTCACACTTACAGCCCAAAAGCCACATATCAAGTGCTTGCTCAACAGCTACATGGGCTAATGGCTACTATATTGGACTGCACAGCTTTCAAATGTTCATTTATTCTCAAATGAACACAAATCAAATCTGTTTGTTTTTTTAAGAGTTTTATATAAGAGAATTTTTTTCTGTGTGTGTTTTTTTTTTAACTTAAGATGACTAAATACGTTGTTATTTTATATATTAAAAAAAAAAACCCTGGAACTCATCTTAGGATTCACATTGCATTCTTCATAATAAGCTAAAAGATATTAAGGACCACAGCATATTGCTTTCCCACAAGCATCCAATTTTGCTTTTCAAACCACGGCTGTTAAGATTTAGTTTTCATTTCCTTTACACATGGCTCCCTTCCTGTCCTAACTGAATGCAACCAAGAAGCTCTGGCACGTCTGAGCCAAGTTTCCTTAATGTGCAACAGGATGGCGCCACCATCATGCACACGATGATGCACCCGAGTTCAAAATTCAGAAAGCTTCCATCCGTCTGCTCATTCCTTTAGGAGACTTATGTCTGTCTTAACAATTTAAGAGGAAAGGGGCAACACTCAGGACTTAAAAATACGGTGGTAATGACCAGGATCAGAGGCCCCTACTGGAGCACACATAACCAGGGAAGCAGTTCCCATAGTCTGGGACACACTGGGACCACCAATCTTCACCAGCAGTGAGGGTTTAAACTTCACCAGCAGTGAGGCCCATGGTTTAAACTCTGAGGGTGTTCCGGAGTTACCTCGGCATCCTGCTCCGAGAGGTGGTACGTCCTCTCAAGGCTTTGCAGAGTTCGCGGAGTCACAGTCTTCTGCTCCAAGAGATGCTCCAGAAGCAAGACCAGCTGGTCTGGAAGAAGCTGAGGACAAAACCACACAGCCTGTGAAGATGCCATTCGGCTTACAAGAAATTAAACCCAAATGTTTAGACCAAAGCCAGCCAAACCAGGGTAACCTGGGCACTCGCAGTGGCTGTCTGAAACATGGGAAGACTGGAGACCTGACTCTGGTAAAACCTCAAAGTTTACTCTGCTTCCCCAAAGACACTGCATTCTGGCGCCTGATCAAGTCCTACTTTCCATGGGTTTTCATGTTAGTTCTCTATTTAAGGGCAGATCAAAACTGTGTTTATCTTTTTTTTAGGTTGTACACCATGAATTTTTTTAAGATGTACAATGTGATGACAATGTACATACACACCATGAATGATAAAAACTATGCTTATCTTAAAACATTACCATGGTTTTATAGATCTTTTTCTTTATAGGATGCATATGCCAAAAAATGCCATTTATCCTAGACAAATACTCAAGAAACCATCTGATCATAGGTAAGCACATGAAAGTTTAACAGAAATAAGAAGCAACTTTTCTATTTCCTTCTTTAGCACATAAATCTTGCAAATGTACACCAAGAAATAAAGAGCATGCAATGAAACTAGAGCCATGTCTCATAATCCATTATAAAAACTGTAAGTTTACTATTCCATTAAAAAAAAAAAGGTTGTTATGTATGATTATATACATACATACACCCACCCACCCCAATTCCTCAGTTTTCATACAGGGTAAGTAAAAATGGCATTACCATTTAAAGACAAAAAGAGGAAGATGTTTTTATATATTAATAGTTCAAAAATAACACAAACTAATCTGTGAAGAAACAATACTTGTGAAATCTAAGAACATATCTGTCTTATTGACTCTACCACAGTTCCTAGACCAGCCTCTAGCACACAGCAGAACTCAAACTATTGACAAAAGAAAAAAAAAATCAATTTAAGATGCATGTTGTAGGAACCAAAAAATACTTATTCTAAAATCAAGGTTTTAAAAGAATTACCATGAATTCCACTATTCTCGACATTTAGCTTTTCTCCATTCCCACCTATGCCCAGACAATCCCTGTCAACTAACCCAAATTTACAGTTCTGAAAGTCAATACTATAGCAACAGAATATTCACAAGAACACCTGGATTTTAATCTCTATTTTGTTTTCTAGAAGAAATTTTAAAAATTATTGGTTTCTGCCCCATCCTCTCTTTACCTTTCAGCCCCCAAGTGTGCACTCCGCCTCTGCCTCCCACCTCCATTCACACACGCACTTTTCCAAAACGTGCTTGTAGGAAAACCCAGTAGAGACCGCATATATGACATTTACCACGTAATTCCACAAAGAAAGCATTTCCTATTATTTTCTCACCTCACTTTTCTAAGGTCTAATAAAACCCCCACTTCCCTCTAGACAGAGGGACACAAAGGCACAACACTTGATTCTTGGGTATTTTCATTTCATAACATCACTCCATCCGCTGAAGAGTCAAGGGTGGATCCTCTCTCAGCCTGACAGAAGAAAGGTACTTTAGCAAAAACAGGGTTACAACTCAGCACTGACCCTGTAAGGTTATACATAAGAACACTAATTTCCTTCCATTGAAACTATTGTGTTTGTAAGATGCTTTAAAGATATCAATTTACAACATAATGACGAGTACCAAAGAGCCAGTTTTCCATTTTCTAGTTTCAGACACGAGGCTACTTTTACTATCTTGTTATTAAATCTGCTGTTTTATAAAACAGACCAAGTACAGAACCACAGCTTCTGGGAGCATCCATACCATTTACACCGTGAGCACTCGGCAATCGGGCCCTCACGGCCCTGGGCAGAGGGAGGCGTCTCGCCCAGCCTCTGGCATTCCTGACCAGGAAGCAGAGAGCCCGGCACCCAGGTTCCCTCACCCTTTCCCATCCATCTCCCTGCAGTCTCCCTCTCTGGACCTTCCAAGAGGGGCTATCCTCTGGTGGAAGCTAATCCGTCAGCCCCAGCCCTGAGTATAACCCTCATTCCCCCTAAGGCCACTCCCTGACGGCACTCCTGCACTTGAACCCTTCTCACGGAGTCTGTTCTTTCTCCTCAAAATGGTCTGTCCCCACCCCACGGCTACATCCCTTTCCAAAGCGGGCTCCACGACCTCCACCCCCACCTGCAGTGGCCTGGCTGGTGCCTGGGCAGCAGCAGCCCACCTGCCTGTACAGGGGCACGGTAGGGGCGTCCCCAGATCGGGTCAGAACGCTGGCCAGTTCTGCATCCCCATGGGCACTCTCGAAACTGATCAGCAGTGCTTCCACAGGCAGCCAATTCAGGGTAGCCACAGCTACGCAAGAAGACAGCTTCCAGGGAAAGGCCCAGCCTGATACAGCACAGAACACCCATCACCTGGGGGTGGGGGCCCCAGTCACTAACTAAACACAGCAGGAACAAGCCCAGCCAATTTGCGGAATTACAGAGAAGGAAGGAGTAGAAAGAAAAGCATCTCCCTATTATATGCCTGAGCTTACAAAGAGGCCTATTGTCAGTTGAGGATTTGGTTTAGACTACAAAGACCCAGGGAGGAAAGAAACCCTGGGTAAGATGACCAGTTTGGTCTTCAACTTACCCTAACTGGATTTAACCAATCAACTCCAGTTCAAAGTCAGAGTTACTAATATGTGAGCCTATCAAAATATCTGGATTCACACTTATACCTCTCTTACAGTTTCCTTCTAAACAAAAGTTCATACATACCTGCACAGAGAAACAGAACCAAGAGGATCACTGCAAGTTTTTGTCCTCTCCTAATTTTACACAATGGAAAAATACTTAAGACCAAGCCCCCTGCCTTAAGATGGGCAGCCAAGATGGAAGCGGGGGGAGTCAAACCTTGGCGGTTATTTGTTAAGTTTAATTTACTTTAATTGGAGAAAGGTAAGGAGCAGGCATGCACACACCCCACCAGCTCTCCCTCCTCCTTCACGAAGGCATCCCATGACTGATGCAAGAACCGGCTTGTTCAGAGACAGGCAGAGGCACCAAGGACCTACAGAGAATGAGAACATTCCTCCATAATGTGCAGAATTCTTCAGAAAGGACTTGTGCAAATGACTTTCAGCAAACAACCTGTAGCCATCTGGCTTTCAACTGTAACTCTTCTAATGGGAGGGGGGGTGTATTTCAAATCAGTGATCAAATGCTATTTCAGTACACAGAAAACAAAACTAATTCAGTATCCTTCACTCACAAATGAGTAAATATTATATAATTTTCACGTAAGATTAAAGATGGAAAAGAGGATATTAAAGCAAAAATGTGGTAAGTTGCTCACTTTAATACAGCACATTTCTCTTTATAAAATAAACATTTACTCCCTATAAAGCCACCCTATAATGAAAAAGAAGAACTAAGTAATAAACTAAAATGTTTGCAAAGCAACTGAGAGATATTACCCACGAGCAGTCGCGCTCAGACGCAGGGCAGGGTGCCACCCGCCCCGGCGGCTGGCACAGCAGCACTCGGAAAGGCTGTGTGGGTCACTCCATTCCCACCCACGTAGAAATCAAATTAAATTTCACATGACTTCTAGGCCGACTGTGTTTAATACAGCAGTACGGAGCGGGGTGGAGACAGACATGGCTCTAGTCACACCATGGAGTGATTAAGAAAAATAAAGTGCTCGCTTTAGCGCATTATCTCCTGAGAAAGCAGCCCCTTCTAACACGACAGAAAGAACCTGCCTTTATTTCTGAGGGTCTAGGAGTGCTCACACCCACAGTTCAACAGTGATAGGAATTTGCACAAACAAGGAGCTCATGACGAGGTTATTATTTTTTCCATATGGAAACCAGCTTGGTATTTTTAAAATGCATCTGCCTCAGAAATTCAGACAAAATAGGTATGGGGTGCCAAAGTCATGTGGGTACTTGAAATAGAGAACTTTACATCATTAGCAAACTTAACTCGAACACAGAAAATAAAACACCAAAGAAGGTCAAATCAATACAATGAGATTTGTTAAGAATTTTAGAAGTCTGTATTCTTGCTCTAAACATGGAGGATTCCATGACTGCTAATTACCCAGAAATGCACAAAGACAGAAGAAAAGTCTACCTTGTAATTTTTCCCAGTCAACCTAAGGGTTGAGGCAAGCCGCACAAGCCTGAACAGTTCTAAAGGGTTTCTACGCAGGCTCTTGGAAAGAAAACATGGATTTTCCAAATCCACCCTCCAAGTCTACAAGGAGCACAAAGAAAAGAAACCCTGACTCTTTCCGAAGCCTCGAAGCCTCTGCTGCTGTCACGGGAGCATCACTCACTCCTGGCTCCCTGAAGACCACCCACACAACCGAGGCCCCTCCACCACTTCTTCCACAAGTAGGACTCTGAAAAGGCCAGCTAGCCTCAATCAGATACTGTTCCCAAACGCATCTCACTACTGACCTTCCACAGGCGGGACCAACACAAGAACCCGGGGCACAGAAATGTCCATGTCAACGGCTGCACCCCTCCAAAAGCGAAGGCGGGCACCTCCCCTCGCAGCCCAGCTGGCGAGCTGCAGTCGCACACGAAGGAAGTCTCAGAGAGGCCTCCAGACGGGGAGTGAGCCTGGGACTAATGCGGCCTCCCAATGACAGTGGCGTGAGTTCTATTATTACCCCATTATCACTCTGGGATCTGTGCCTAAATGAAGCATGCTTCCTCCCTGATGCCATTTCCTTTTATCCTGGCTGGAGACTAAAAGCGGATCAATGGGGGCAATACATATGATGTCACTTCACTTTACAGCAACGGCCTCCCTCTCTTTCAGTTTCTCTGAAATACACAGAAAGATCAATTCTTCCCAAAAATGGTTAAAAAATGCTTAGGGAGCATTCTTCTTCCAGAAAAGCATTCTCTGCTATATTTGTCTATGTTACTACGGCAGGAACTGTTTACACTGAACAAAAACAGAAGAAATGGGGGAGGGAGGAAAAAATCTCAAATTCTCCGGTAGGCTGGCTGAAATTCAACACAAGCATGGTCCAAACCAGAATCAGGGCGGCTGACC